ATAGATAGATAGATAGATAGATAGATAGATAGATAGATAGATAGATAGATAGATAAATAGATAGATAGATAGATAGATAGATAGATAGATAGATAGATGTTCTATAGTCCAGAGTGACGGAATGTTCAATTTCTTGGTTTCTGTTGTTTTATTACTTTTTTTTCAATTAAAAAGGATATTATGGTTATGCCACCAGTGAGACCCTTGTTTCCTCTGTTTGCCTATAACGTTTAGCTTCGTTCTCTCGTTCTCTCGTTCTCCTGTTCTGCGGTCTGTCGTTTCGCTTTGTTCTGTTATTCTAGACTTTGTTTATTAGCTTTGTTCTCTTGCTTTACCGACTGTTAGTTTTTTCTTTTGTTCTACAGTATATTTTAAAGTTTTGTTCTCTTATTCTACAGTTTGTTTATTAGCCGCAGTTTTGTTTCTGTTGTTTTTGTGAGTGTGTGTGTGTGGGGGTGGGGGTGGGGGGCTTGTTCTACAGTTTGTTTATTAGCGACCTTCTCTTGTTCTACTGTCTGTCTATAACCTCTGTTCTCTTGTTCTACAATTTGTTAATTAGCTTTAGTTTTGTCTTTGTTCTACAGTTTGTATCTTATCATTTGTTTTGTTCTCTTTCCCAACATTTTTTTTATTAGCGCTATTTAAAAAATTAAAATTTTCCCCTTGTTTGTATATTTGTAATTTTCTCCTTATATTCAGTCTGTCAACTGGCTTCATTCTTTTGTTCCTTAGTTTATTTATTAACACCATTAGCTTGTTCTTTAGATTGTCCATTAGCTATGTTAATTTGTTCTACATATTATTAAAATTTATCAGAGGTGTTATGTTGTTCAAAAGGTAGTTTCTTGGTTTTATTCTTTTGTTCTACAGTCTGTGTTTTAGATACTATTTTTTCTTATTCTAAAGTTCGTTTATTAGCTTCGTTCTTTTCTTGTACAGTTGTTGCCCGTTCAGACGTTGCATATTTAGGAGATGTATTTTACGTTAATTTCCTTCAAAGTTCAGTTCTTTCGGAGACAGACGCTAAACATGGTGGTTCCGCTTCTTAAATAATCGGCTGCTTGCACTGTATGCTTCCCGGGAAGCTGAGAATGTTTCGGAGTGTTCTATGGTCTGCTGGGGTAATAATATAGTGTAAAGCGCATAGAGCCTGCTGTT